ACTTCGGCATCCTTTAGGCTGTGTGCATCGTCCAGATGCTGAAGGACGTGCCCGATTCGGCGACGAGGACGGCAGAGGGAGGAAGCAACAAGGACTCCTTGGGGCTTGAGCTAAAGCGGGGGGTGGCCATCGTGGCTCGCGCGTTCGACGTGTGGTGGGCTAGCCGCAACGACTTCCCGGACATGGTGAGAAGAGTACACATCAAGCCGGTTTTGGGCTGCAGATAAGTGTTGGCTTCCGCCGGAACAAACGTCCGAAGAAACGGTCGACGTTGAGATTATCCTGCTCACGTTGTTTCGCAACAAAGGTGACGTTTTCATCAGCTATTTACAACCATTACTGTCTGTGTCTTTCTCCTTCTCTTTCCCTTCTCTCCATCTGCTCTCTCTATTTTTCCTTGTTCTTTTTCTTTGCTTTTCCAATCCAGGGCTACCCCGCATAGCGTATAGAGACGAGCGGAATGGCCTAGACTATCTGTCGTTGACTTTTATTGGCTTGCGGACCCTTCGGGTTCATCTTATTTTCGTATATATTTTCTTTTTTCGGTAAGTTAGCCTTTGGCCACGGGAATCGACCCCGTCAAGTGTTAGAGTAGTACGGAAAGTGCTGGGCAGAGAGAACGGAACGGTTATAATGTGAAGACAACAACAACAACAATAACAACTGTTCTACCCCTATTCCCGTTCAACCGAACCTGGCATAGGACATCGTGACCACCCTTCACTCGTCCATGGATGTTGGACTTCAGCTTACCCTGATGGATAGCGCCCGAGAAGCCTTGGTAGACCCCCACCACTCCCCCTCCACGCTGCCGCCCTACGTGCCGCAAGACATCATGCGCCCCGCCTGTAGCCAGGGCTACATTGTCGGGATGGCGATGGACGACATGGCCAACGACGGCAACGCAAAAAGGACGGTGAGGTTATGTTGCTGTTGCCGACATTGTTGTTGTTTAGGTGTGACCGTCAGGTAATGCTCTTGCTCTTGTGGGTGGTTTTGGTGGTGGCAGTAGTTGTACCATGGGGTTCGGAAATGTGGTCATGTCTTGGTGCCGTGCCGCCATCGAACACAAGCACCGCGAACAAGTACTTCGAAATAGCTTTCAATCGAGAACTCCGCAGGTACATGTAATGTCGCAGACACAATACAAAAGTACAATAGGAGTGGAGTGCTTGGAGGATATTCTTTAGTATGAATATTCTGCAATGACGAGGGAATAATAAAACGTTCGCCACATGCTTCACTTGTTGTCCTTGACATTCACATTCGCTTGAAACCTGACCCCGAAAGAACCCTAGACTTTGAAAAAAATTGCGTTTTTTTGCGTGTTGTCGTAGAGTACCAGAAGATTTGAACCTGTGAGTGAGAAACGCCTGAAGAATGCAACCCAGTACGCTCCCTCCCTGCAGTCTTCCGCGGAGTTTGATTTTTTCCTCCCGGCTGTGGCTGCATCGCGGCAGTCCCTACCCGCTAAACTCGAGGTACCGACAGTTAAACCGGTTTCCAAAACGATACTGCATGCCATCGAAATTGACTGTCTGTCTGCGGGATCAAGTGTGGGTCGACCTATGTAGCTGGAAGTGCCGAATAGACGTTACAGGGAGTGGTTTCTGCTTGAAGACGGCATCAACAACGAATGGTCGTTAGGAAAAACGCGCGTGATTGAGAATGTGTATGTGGTCATGTAGTCCACATACACAGGTACGTCTTGAGTCAAGAAGAATCATCACCCTGGACAATACGTGCAACCTCACCCACCTGTTAACCCACGCTCACCCGACAATAGGATCTGACAGAGACCTTCGCTCGAATCTCGACGGAAGCCGCGGAGGCCCAGGGCCGCCCGAACCACACCGACATCACCGACATCCTGGTGTGGAAGGCCTCTTGCCCGCACTACAACGTGCAGGTCAAGTCCGGGCCTCTGGCCAACGCCCTCGCCTCCGAGTTCGGCTTGGACCTGAGCAAAGGCGACGCTGTCGCCTCTGCAGAGCTCCGGGAGGGCTCTCGCTGGCAGCGAGAGAATGCGATGGGCATCGGTGATGTATTCGACGCCGACGAGCTAGCGCTGCTCACGGAGGTGGCACGGAAGGTGAGTGTACAACCTACGGGTGAGTTCGGCGCAGATCCGGTAGATACATTTTTCTTCGATTTCCTGGGGGAACATGCATGCACCTGTCTGTCCTGTCTGTCGCCCCATCCTGCTGTACTTGAGGTTGCCAAGGGCACCCCGCACAATCTGATTTGAAGAACACAAGACTTGGACGGCCTCCCCGGCATGTCGGCTACTGCAACCCTCAGATGTACCCTTTGCCAAAGAAAGTATGAGTGCAACCTCCGCCCCCGCGTCGTAGTAAGCGTATATTTTCCTCTGGCTCTCGATAGACCACATGGCACCACACAATGCGAAAGAAAATCGAGCATCCTTGAACGCAGCGCCGCCATGATTCTAAACCTCTCCGCTCGAAATGCGTTGATCGCTTGTTGCTTGTTTTTTTTGCACGCCGTGCACGTGCACGTCTACCTCCTGCGGCCGACCTGGACGTACGTGAACACAACGAAACGTCTACCAATCAGAGGGAAGCCGCCGCGCCGAACCCACCGGACAGCTCCGCCGCCGCCCCTGCATCCTCGCCAGCCTCTCTGGCAGCTGCGAACCGTAACGACGTGCAGTGGCCACTACCAACGACTGGCGGTAACCCACGGAAGAAGAACAGCAAGAAGAAAAGGAAGAAGAACGGCGCCAGCGGGGCGTAGGCACGCAGGAGCACAAGGCCACCGTGTAGCCCTTGCAGAGGGGCTGCACGGCCTTTTGGTTTTGTTTAGTGGGTGCGCGATCGCGAGATCGCGTTTTAATTGTCTCAGATGCAATTCCCACGTTGGTCCGAACACACTTACTTTCAGCGTTCGGGCGCCTATCTCTCTTGTCATGAATACTCCACGTGGGAGAGTCGTGACAAGCCGACAGCTCACATCACTGGAAACAGTGATAATGTTGTGTTCTATGTTTGTGGTACTTGGATATGAGTCCGATGCTTCTGTCGGGGACGGCGCTCTGGCTGAAGCCGTCCCCGACAGCAGCATCGGCGGTGGCGGCATCGGTAACGGGGGAAACGGGAGCGGCAGCAGCAGCAAGCGGCGTCCCCGGTCGCCGCGTTGGCGTCGGGTGTCCAGACGGCCGCAGCGGCAGCGGCGCCGGCGCCGGTGACGGAGGTATGTGACGAAGAGTTGGAGGAAGCGTTCGGTGCGACAACCACGCCATTGCCAGTCCTAGAGGAGCTTGATAGCCAATGTACTGGGGGGGACGTGAGCAGCAGCGGCGAGGGCAGCAGCGGTGATGGGGGCGGGGATGAGGGGTTGGATGAAACCTGGAGTGGAGCCCCGACGCACCCTTTTGACCCCGGGAAGACTAAGGAGGAAGTGAGCAGCAGCAGCAGCAGCAGCAGCAGCGAGGAAAGCGGCGGTGATGGGAGCGGGGACGAGGGGTTGGATGAAACCTGGAGTGGAGCCCCGACGCACCCCTTCGACCCCGGAAAGACATCTTCGCGTGGCGCGAGGAGACGGGGGGCGGTACCAGGGGTGGCGTACCCCTTCGATAGGGGCAGGAACGGGAGTGGCAGCTCCGCCGGCGGCAACGGCGGCAGCCGCAGCAGCGACGGGAGCGGCGGCTTCGGCCAGAGCTCCGGCGGCGACACCGGCGGCAGCAGGAACAGCGACGGGAGTGGTGGCTTCGGCCAGAGCCCCGTCGGCGGCAGCGGCGACAACGGCGGCGGTGGTAGAGGCGGCAGCAGCGACGTCACCGGCAGCCGTGTTGGCGCTGGAACTCATGACGGTCGTGGCGGCGGGGCAACGGCAACGGCGGCGATGGCAGCGGCGGCAGCAGCGGTGGCGCCCTCGAGTCGACCGGGGGAGGACACGGTGACAGCGACGACCTCACCTTGTTACAGCCAAGTGGGAGAACATGTGGAACGTTTACGAGTTTGTTCGGTTTTGTGAGCAGACATGGACGTTTTTGCTTCGATATTTGGCTTCGCATTTCGCTTATTTTTTTAGTTCTGTTTTTCTCTTGCTAGTGCACCGTGCACTTTGATGCAGAAAACACGTGTGTGCCACGGCGTGTGATTTTTTTTGTTGTACTTGTTTTCATGATTAATTGTACGCTGCGACAAGATAAACATTGCCACGACCTGTGGCATAGGAAGCAGCACGTTTATATTTTTTTTTTCCTTGGTTCTTGGTCTATATATTTTCAGTCGCGTTTTACGTTGCAGCTGAATGCTTCATATTATTTCTGTATTCTTTGGGGGGAGTACGTTCAGTCGCGTTTTTTTTCTACGAACTGGACACTTTTGCACGAAGGATGTTTCGACACTTTGGTTTTTATGTTAGGTCCTGAGTTAAGTGGTCGCTCTTTGCGGTGTGCTTCTGGCCGCGCGCACGAAATGGGATGATAGCGGGTTGTTTGACATGCATGAAGGCATACCGCTCAGGGGGCAGGGGGGCTTTTGGAGTTCCAGTTGAGGAGACAGTTTGCCTACAGTACGAACTTTTTCTGGAGTTTGATGCCTTGTGTGTTACTACGTGTTTTCATGTTTGTTTCTGGTTTGTATCGCATGTTTTGCTGCTCTTGCATCGAAAATCATGGGGCGAGATGTCATGTATGACCATGATTCTAGAGGGCATGAGCAGCAATCGAATTGGTTTGTTTTCGGGTCATGTCTATTTGTGTTTTTGGTGAACGGCAAAGCAGGGGGGCCGTCGGCATCGAGATATTAGCTCGGGGTGAATTTTGGGGGCTGACAGCAGGGGGGCTGTTTACTTGGATCGTTGCTTATATTTTCTATCGTTTCTTGGACAACAGCGACGGTAACGGTGCCGTTTAGCGGGTGGGCACTGTTTAGGATTTGGTCCTTGGACACTATATTACAGGAAGGATTTGACATGTTTACACGATTAATAGTTGGGGCCATTGTGCTTTCCGAATTCTCGTTTTGATTGGTCAAGAAGTTGAGTTTTTGTTTTGTTTGAGGATTTGGCGCCAACTCTTTGAAAGTTGTTTGTTCCAGAAATGTCCGTTCTCGTTCTGACGATTTTCTGGTGTAGCACTAGTAGTTGTCGGGTACTTTTCTGAGAATGATTCTTTTGTGTCAACGGTTTGAGATTATTTCCAGAGACGAATGCGTTGGATTCGTGAATAAACTGATGGAGACGCTTCGTGTTGAATGCGTAGCCAGTTTTTTTGTTGAATAAGTTCTCTCAAGGGGTGTTTTTCTGTGTTGGCTGATTGCGCGTGAAGGGTTGCAAGATCGTACATCGTATCAGGGGGCTGTTTGTGGTACTTGGATATGAGACCGATCGGTGCATCCTCTGTGGGGGATACGCCTATGGGAAGTATGGGTGTGATGAGTATGTCTGCGATTGAGGCCCAAGTGCAGGGCCTCCGGGTGAGCTCACGGCGGTGTGCTCCCGGCACTTGCCTGAGGGGCTTGCGTGTTGGATACCAGCTTGCCGGCTTGCGTGTTGGTGACCAGCTTGCCTGAGGTGCGTGAGTGTCGGATAGATAATACATGGTCCTTTTCTTCATCTGCTGTTCCTGGGACAACATAGTCCCCATTTTCAACACCACAGACCGCTGAGGGCGGCAGTGCACATTAACATTCTACAACAGAGCAGAATCGGAACACGAACTGACACATACCCAACAGTGATCGGAGAAGTGTTATGAGCTTAAGGGTTATTTTCCATGTCTGCCGGAAGACAAAATAAAAGAACAAAAAAAAATGGGTATGTATGTACTGCAGTTGGTGTTATTAGCGAATCGGGGTAGGCACCGAAGATTTGATCGTATCGAACGATTCGCGCTTCCTGGGCCGAACTATAGTCTATTGAAGCCCGCATAACACCAATCATCATTTTTCGACCACAAAACGACAAGTTTTTTTCAACGCGACCCAACGACAAAACGCACGTATTAAGTATGAGAGAACTTTTTTGTGTTTGGGTGCGGTAGCTTCGTCAGAGGCAGGGGGAGAACGAAGGTTGACCCAAGACAGACCGTGCATGAATAAAAGTGGAATGCACATACACGGGGGAGGCCAGACGAGCGCCGCGCGTATCTTGCCCATCACACACACATCCTCTATGTACAGCAGTACCCCCTCGGAGGCCCCGTAGATCAGTATATTCTGCTGCTGAGCACCTCAAACATTCAGTGCCCGCCTCTTGGCGGGGCACAACCAACCTGTACGCCACGCCCCGTGACATAGCATACTCCCTCGTCAACGGTACCCGGTGAGCCCTAACCAAACAGAACCAAAGATATCGAGCCCGGCATGGTTATTGACCTGCACGCCGCTGTAGGACATACACACGTGTTCAGTGCAGAGGTTTAATGGGCTTCCGGACAAGCGTCTACGTGGAAAAAAAATCCTGACACATGCTTCACCGTGTGTATGGCGGCAGCGAGATGTATCATACCTGCACGTTTTCCCGTCAATTCAGTGGCTGGCTGTGGTCCACAGCCTGGAAAGAGACCAAACAAATGTGCAACTCAACTTGCGCAACTTTCTGGTTGGTGCACATTCCGGAGGAGGAGTGCTTGTGAGATCTGCTCTGTTTCTGTCTTGTGAACACTGCCTTGTCACACACGGCGGGTCTCCGTAGGTATGCTTTATGTAACGTCGTGAGGAGCATACTGACTGTGGTCCACAGTCGGTCTGGAACAGGAAGCAGGAAAACATTGTATATGCTGACTACTGGGCTGGGGTCCACAGACTACATACATGCTTACAAAGCCAGTCTGGAAGGAGGAAAAACATTTGTGCACACATCATCCTGATGAGGATACTGGAGTGCTGGTGAGATGTGCTCTGCCTTTGGTGCACTGCCTTCTCACGCACAAACAGCGGTTATCGGCCAAGGTTTCAAACGTTGTTGACGGGAGCTTTCCTTTGTCCTTGGGCTGTATTCTGGGCTGTGTTCCTGGGCTGTGTCCTACATGTAGTTCGTCGACTTCCTGAATGTTCTTGACCAACCGTGGACGACGTGCATCCTCCCCGTCGTGGGTGCGGCGGTAGTTACGACGAGTGGGGGTAGACAAAAGAGGAGAGGGGAGGGGGTGGTTCGGTTGTTCGCACTCGCACGGGGGAGATCTACGAAAAAGCCATACCGTACAACAACGGACGCGTTCTCAAACACTGACGACACGAGCTTTCGCACGAAAGTTGTAGGAGGAGGGACACCGCTTCCAACCCACACGAAAATCTGTCGATGGAAACTAGAGAAACATCGACCGAGGAAAAACAACTTGCTTGTAGAGAAGAAACCGGAGATCGCCCACGCTAAAACCAAGTGAATGCAGAGAGTGGGGTCACTTTTCAGTGGGGTCGGAAAAAGTGGGGTCGAAATCGATAAGTTCTGAGAATTTCCGTGACAGACTCTGAAGCCTATATAAGTAGAGCTTCAGAACATCTTGGGAAGAGGGTGCCTCTAGTTCTCCCCCTTTCCTCCTGTCGACCTGTTACAACAGCTACGAGGCCTACAACACTTCTCTGTTCTCCTGGACCTTTTCCCTCGCGTCATCCTGTGCTGTTGGTGTTTTTCTGCAAAACAAGGGCCCCACCGGCAGGGATAGGGGGCTACACTTGTCCTTGTTCAATCCTGTCTACTCCAGCGGTTGGACACTCTCGCCCAATGTCATTCAAAACGCAGCGCCTCAAGGGCCAAGAACGGGCTGAAGCCTTAGCGTGCGCGTGTTTTCATCGCCATCACGATACAGAGCTCTTCGCCCGTTTACTTAGCCCGTATATATGCGCAGCTTTCTCTCTAAAACTAAAGCTTATGTGGCAACGCATGGTGTCGTTGCATGTTCCGCCTTGCTTTGTGGATGTTGACGCTTCGAGGAACCCCGACCTCCAACACCTCCAACAACCGCTCTCAACCCAATTGTACTCAACACTTCAGCGTGTGAACACGGGTAAACGAACTGCGCTCGGAAGCACGACGCGCCGGCCGCCGAGCCCCCAATGATGTCCGAATTCCTCCCCCCAGCCGCAAAGAAAAGGGTCCCCGTGGCTGTGTGCTCGTTGGTCCTTCGGCCTAATGTGTCCTTCCTCTTACGCCGGTGAGAGAGCCCTCTCCGGCCCAGCTACAATAGAAGGACGACCTGGTCCCTGCCTGCTTTCACTCTATATTGCGGGCGGCCCGTATACGCGCCGCTGGCTCCCGGCCCCTGAATCGGGGAACGAACTCTATTTCCTTCTTCTTCGCCCAGTTGGCTCACCCTTAACATGTGACTGCCTCTCTACAATCTGGGTTGTACGCATCACCGCGAACAACACATCGCATCAGCAGCAGCGGGTGCAGTCAAAGGAGGAAGACAGTGCCGGACACGTGAGAGAAGGCGGGGGGGGGGGCGGCAGAAAAAGGGCAGCGCGAAGGCGGGGGAAGCAGAGGGCGTTACAAGGGCTCCGGTGTCGTAGAGAAACCTTTCCTGTATACTCGGACACGGGGCACAACACGTAAACACGTCACCGCGCGGCGCTGAAATGGTCGCTTGGCCCGCAGATTCCTGCAACCGGCGAGCTCATTTCCTTTATCTAGCAGACCGACACCAGTGGAATGAGGGGGAGTGCTCAGTGCTATCAGCACACCTGTCCATGTAGAACGAAAACAACACAAACAGGCGTTCGGATTACAGTCCCAAAGGGGTCGGTCGCATTTCCCCCAGCGAGCGGCGGCGATTTGATACCAACACCAGCTCTCTCTCGGTTAACGGAGCTCGACCCATGCGTGACAACCATACGCGCGCACAAGCTCCAGGCGACGGCCTAATCCCTCCAAAACTTAAACCTCTTTCACCATGAATACACAACCCACCTGCCACAACTGTGTTCCCTCCACCCCCAACCCCCTGCGACGAGGCCGAGGGTTCAACTAGAATCGTGGCATGCGCACGTTGTACTCTGAATCACTTTGTACTTTTACTTAAGAGAAATGAAGCACCAAAGTGATGCCCCTGCCCCTGCCCCCGCCGCAACGCGGTCTTTTTCGATCCCTTCCACTCTAGGACCTCAACCATCCCGCCCGGGCTGTCGTTGCATAGCGTTTGTGCATTGCTCCAAACACCAAGGCACGCCTTCCGCCAGACCCGGCCCGTTCCTTCTACGGTATTGATGCAGAAAAATTCTCCCCACAGGGAGAGAGAAGGGGTAGAGAGAAAGATGGGAGACAAGATGGCTATCTACTCTTGTATTTTTTATCTGTTGCTTCCTTCCTATGTCTATCTACGCTTGCATTCTTGATCTGTTTCTTCTTTCCTTGCTGTCTCTCACTTTTTGTTTTGTTCCCACAGACCCTCGTCCCTCTCCTGCATGTCCCTAGCCGCGTCGTCCCCGGGCTGTAGCCGGATGCGTGTGTGTGGACCACCGTCGCACAAACCGAGTGACGGTTCACCGCACGAAAAAAAACAGGGGGTGTCATCATAACAAGGTATTCGGGGCCTCTCGCCTTGCAAGCGAGGTACTGCTGCTGCTGCAGGCACCGAGTCAAGAGCAAACCATTGAAGTTGGACACAGTTCCGTGAAATCAAACCAAGGAGGGGTCGCGAAACATTAGTGCGAGGGTGTTTCGAAGGTTCCTTTTCCTATTTAGCATCGATCGCGCTAGACAATGAAAATGCGTCAGTCTCAGTGCGGAAAGAAACGGAAAACATTGCTATCGGTATAATGACATGACTTCATTGCTCATTTTGCGCCGGACTTCTGTCTGTCGACAGAGATAGTTGTTGTGTTCTCTGCAAGGGCATCAAAAACGCCTCTGAAGGTGATATTTGGGGGGGGGGTCAGGCTAGGTTGTTCTCCGGTGTTGAAGACAGAAACGGAAACAGATAAAGGCGTTTCACGGGGTTCCTACCACAAGACACTCGATTGCGTTTTGGCTGCCTCCGTGTGTTGTTTGCTGGTTTCTGGCATCCTCCTCGCGTGCGTGTCTTTTGGCCTTCTGTTGTCCTTGTGCACGTACGGATTTTATTTATCTTTGGCTTACTTTCGGCTTCTAACTAACTCCAGGAGGAGAGAGCAGTTCTCGAGGGGAGAAATTGAGTCAGGCCGTGTACGTTACCGGACATGCGCACATATCTGTCACGCGTTTGTTGTTGCAACCGTCTCCGACGCAGCAGCCGATCGACAACCCTGAAACAAACCTAGGTGCTGGGCAGTCGAGCGTGTTCAGCAATCGTGCATTCATGTACCGTGAAGGGGCGGAGAGATGGCACGATGGCACCCCCCCCGTGCTTGTAGACCGATTTCTGGTATTTTTCTTAGTATGACACAGCGAACCCATCGCTATCCATAGAAACGAGTCTGACATAGATTAGCAGTGAATTCATAGCGTCAGCGGAAACTATCTGTTGTTCTACTGCAGCATACAGCAATATCTCCCCTGTGGGTAAGGCTCAACAAGACAGTCTGGTACATGGCCGATCTTGTCTACTCTTCGAAATTGAGTTGCCTAACAAGCCAACACCAAAAACGGTGGTGTTGGAGACATAAAACATCTCGTCAAGGACTTCCCGTTGGCGTATCGAGCTCTTTCGGTACCCACTTGCACATGCATGGTTGTGTGCAATAATTGCGCAAAAGTAGTCGAGCTTATGTAGTCGATCTACAGAGTATACCGTATATGACACAAGATAACACACCCCCTGGGCCGATTTTCAAAGCTCGATTTCTCAACAGCAGGAAGAGTCACAGCGCCGAAAACGGCGGCGTTGGAACCGTCTTGTCGAGAGGTTTTCGAAAATGTATTGTTTCGTCTATGCATCCTCTTCGTCGTGGAGTAATCGAGCTTTGAAAATCGGTCCAGGGGGTGTGTTATCTTGTGTCATATACGGTAGTCTAGCCCATATAGTACATAGTCTACTGCTGTCATCCCATCCTCCAGAGGGGGAACGTGGTTTCCACTGCTGTTGCACAAGGACCGCCTCTGTCAACGGACCCAGTATGTGCCGCTCTTATACGTGTTGTGCCGAAGTTATGTGCGTGTGCATGCCTACGCGCGGGCGTATGCATATGCAGTAGCGTGCATGTAGATTAGGGAGGGGAAGCAGCCGAGGGGAAGGAAGAAGGAAGAGGAACCAAACGCCAAACAGAAATTGGAACCTTGACAGGTTGACTGTTGAATCTCCGCAATGTTCTTGTGACGATTCAGAGACATCGCTCCATGTCCGACATCATCGCGAGCTAGCCAGTTATAGGGAAATCTCCAGTTACCGCACAAGACATGAGGGTGCGCGTTGTGCGGTGTACCACAAAAACCTGTAGGTGAGACTCCGCAAGCGGTCAGTGAGACTGCACCAGCGGTCAGCAGCAGCTGTCTCGCCGCAGATACTGCTGTAGTTGCAGCAGCGAAAACATGAGTTGCGTGGTTTTGCGCGAAGGTCTGCGTCAACACGCATACTTCACCCACCTTGAGCAGGAGGGGGATCAGTCCCGCAGTCAGGATCACCGCGACGGCTCCCGCCGGGAGAACCCATCCCGGCGCATCGACGGTTCCCGGCTCCGCCACCCCGCCAGCAGCAGCAATCAACGGCACCACGGAAGACTGAAGCACCGTCGTCAGCGATGATGCGCCAGCGGAAGCAGCAGCAGCAGCGGGCAGAGGCGAGACCATTCGTGTGCACTGCCTGCCGGGTGCTGCGACGCTTGCCCTCGATGACGGAGGTGCGACGACGAATCCGTCCGCCGCCGAGGCGAGGCAGAGGACGGCGGTGGTAGTCGAGAAGAGCTTCATGATTTGCAACAGGCTCAAGGTGTGTGTCACTCAGTGAGTTGCAGTTGGTTTTTTGGGGTTCCGTGGATTCATCGCAATACCCCACATACCCCAATTCCCCGTGTCTTGTGATTACCTCCGATGCGATGGATCCTCTGCAACCAGATCCTACAGTACCTGACCTTTGCCTCGGATGCTCGGCACATGATCCTATCGCAGACCAAATCATACACCAGGGTGTAGGACACGTCTCGCCATGGCCACGAACGCTATAATTCCATCGCGTTGTGGACACTTCATTTCGTTTTATCCGCAGCAGTGCAGATGGTTGCATACACCAAGCAGACCGGTACATCGTGTCAATCAAGAGCAATCTTTTGAAGGCCTCTTGCAGAGGTTGGTTGTTTGACGAACAGAGAAAAGTTGCGAAACGCAGGTGGTGGGTGTAGACTTCAATATACGAGATGCTGGATAGAGGACAGCCCGGGTTTCCCTCTGGAGAAAACAAGACAGACACAGCAGCAGTATCGGGGCAAACGAAATTACGCAGCCTGTAGCGCCCGTAATCTGAGACTGGAGGCGCTTGCGAGGGGAGCTGAGAGCCAAGAGCGCAGTCTCGAATCGTACATACCGGCTTAACCCTGCAAACAGAACAAAAATGACTGCGACCGGCACACAGTATCTTCCCTCCGAAAACACTCCTTCCTCTTGAACGATATTCGGGACATGCAGGTTTAGCGGGTGTACAAGTAGAAGCTGCGGAGTCTCTTGCCCTCTACTGCTGTTCCTACAGCGCAATGCGTTGTGCCAAGAGTAAAAATGGCTACGCAATACAACACCCCGAACGACGTGACGTGCTAACAACGATGATGTTATTAGTGCCGTCCATGCTCGGACAGATGGTGGGACAAGCACATAGAGTACATGTAACAAAACACTAAAAACCAAGGAGCAGCAACGGGAACCCACAAAAACGAAGCCACCGATGGTCATCCCCCCACAGAAGACAATAGTACAGTCAACCAAGTAAACGGCGACTTGAGCTTCGGGACGACGACGGTAACCCGTTCAGATTAGTGAAATGGTTGGCCTCATCGAGTGTCAGCCAAGAAAGCAAGATCCAAGTGATCCGAGAATTCCTTACACGAGCTTCGCTCTCTCACGTGCCCCGACAAAAAAAGTGCCGTCAACCCCCCCTCGGGTCGAATTGAGAGAGAAAACAACGACGAAGAAAACATCGAACCCACCGAGGGCGTTTGAAGGCCGGCCTCCAATTGCCCCAGCACGACACCAAGGTTACGTGCCGAAGTATGTACATGTTGGGTCTCAAACCCTATTATGCAAAAGGTCGATAAAAAGTGTGTCAAATAAGCACGAAAACGTTGACCAGGACAAAACGCAGGGACAAAGAACAATAGTGCAGTGCTTCAAGGTCAAGGCTTGAAAAACTTCACGTCGTTCGACCGCTGCGGAGCCATCCCCCACCGCACCCCGCTAGCCATCGTAACGAACGACCCTTTCAGCTTGGCCTCCCACCGCCGAGCCGCCTCCGCCGCCTCCGCGGAGAGACGACCCCCCCGTTCAGCCGCCGCCAATGCCACGGCCACTGCCGCTTCACCAACACTCCCGTCGCCAACACCCACACCTGCTCCTCCGCGCGTATTTTCCCCTACCACCGCCACCACCCCCGCCGATCCTGATACAGCAGCACCGCCACCACCTTCATCGATGTCTCCGCCCCCACTTTTCCCTCGCTGCGTCAATGCCAACGACGACGAAGCTGATTCGTCGTCCTCCTCAATCTGCGGCCCCTCTCGTGCATTCATACCCTCACCGCCTTCCCCGTCCGGCCTGCCGAGGTTCCGTAGCAGCGCGGCGGCCTTCTTCGAAGCCGAGCCCTCCGCGGCAACGAAAACGGTGGAGGTTGAGGACACCTCCGCAGAAGACGACGGCCCATGCGGTGGCGCCACTACCCCTCGCTCTTCACTTGCAGCAGCAGCAGCAGCTACCGCCCCTGGTGATGTTTTCGTTGCCGATTCCCCCGAAAACGCGCCCACAAACACCTCCGACACGTCGCGACCGCACCGCTCGTCCCCGCCGTCGTCCGCAGACCCACCGCCGGCCGCCGTCATCGACACCGCCGTCGCCGAAGAAACACCGCAAATCCGCCGCCCCTCCTCGTCACTAGCGAGCAACAGCGGCGGTGGTCCGTGGTGGCTGCCGTTGCTGCCGGTGCCACCACCACCACCACCACCACCACCACCACCACCACCACCACCACCACCTCCTCCCACCGTAGACCACGCCGACCACGCCCCGTTGCCGCCGCCGCTGTTTTTCCGCGTCGTTGGTGTTGCGGCGGTTGCGGTGGGGTCGTGGCGAGAGTCCCCGCCGTCCGTCCCCGTGCCGTCGGTGACGCCGCCGTCGTCGTCCTCGTCCGGGCTGGCCGGAGGGGGCCCCGCGTTCAACCCTCCGCCGTCGCAACCGTCGCCTTCGTCGTCATCGTCGAGGTGCCCGAGGAGAGGCTTCCTCCGAGCCTTCCTGGTCTCTCGAAGGCCCGCCGACAGCGACGCCACCATCTGGTTAAGCCGCAACGAGGACGACTCGCCGAAGGCCGCGGCGAGCGCTTCCGCCGTCGCCGCCGCCGTCGCCGCGGGAGAGGAGCTACGGTCGCCGCCGCCACCGCCGCCGCCACCGCCGCTCTCTACTCCCGTTCCCAGCGGGTTGTTGCCGCCGCGCGTTGACGGCGGCGGCGGCGGCGGCGACGAGGACCGGGCACGCGCACCTTCCTCTCCTTGCTCCCCCTTCTTGTCTCCTGCATCCTCAACGCCACCATCACCACAAGTCTCCTCTTCGAGCTCTTCGTTTCCCTTCTCGCCAAAGCCCACGCCGCCCCCCGCCGCGGGCGGCGACGGACTCCTGGACGCCGCGAAACGCCCGTCGCCGCGGCGATAAGGTCCTTCCTCCCCTACGGTAGGCGGACCGCCGTCGAAACCGTTTTCATCCGGCCGAGATCCAGACCCCCCTTCACCGCTACCTCCGCTAACGCCACCGTCGCCGACGCCTTTGCAAGCATCCGCTGTACCAGGAAACACGGGGGACCCCTCCTCGGGAGAGGTGGCGCCGCTCTCGGACCCACCCTTGCTTTCCTCGCCCCCTCCTTGCCGCCGCGAGTTAACTCCCGCGACGTCCAGCGACGAGGGTCGCCACACCACCGGAGCGGTTTGGGCCATCGCGCTGTCCGACAGTGTTTCCTCCGTGGGTGTTTCCTCCGTGGCCTCCGGACTACCGGGCGCAACGCGCCCGCTGCCGCCGCCGCCGCCGCTATGCACCGACCCGCCGCCGTCGGGTGTCTCAGCGGCCATCTCTATCGTCGCCTTCGCCGCGCCCTTTTCCTCTCCAAGATGTCCCTCAGGCGGCGGCAACGTCAACGCCTCATCGCCGGATGATCTCTCAAAACCGTGCCCGTTTTCCCCGCCGGCGCACCCCGTTCCTTCCTCTTCTTCACCACGCCTTGCAACCTCTTCCCCCAAGTCCTCGGCCGCCGAGCTGGCGGCCGACGACGACCGGCCCCGGCTACCGGACGAAGCGGCGGCGGAGGCAGCAGCGGCGGCGGCATTTGCCGCCGACGCTTCCGCCTTCGCTGCCGCTGCCGTGGCGGCAGCCGCAGCGGCCGCCGTCGTGGCACAGCTCAGCGCGGCAGACAACCGCCGCTGCTCGACCCTACTGGCTTTCACCTGGAACGGTGGCCATGTGTTACGGTGGGTTTGGTGGATTGGATATGTTAGTCAAAAGAAGAAAGGAGGAGACATGAAACATTGGCGAAAGGAAGAGTGTTCATCGGGCTCCTTCTCGACGAAAGATAAGAAACCCTTTCGGGGGGAAACAAAACAAGGGTCCGAATCGGGGATGGCTGCTCATGACGAGCACGCCCTGCCCGCCTCAGAATAAACTCAAGCATGGCTAGACAACACCAACAGACAGACGGACAATCAGACAGACAGACAGACAGACAGACAGACAGACAGACAGACAGCATCATGACTCCCGGCTACAAACAGACCGAGACCTAATCGAAGCATTGGTTCGTGTACAGTTGTAGTAGGAAGTGTGAACATACACGCGTATCTAGCTTCGGCGGTTTCGGCCAACGCCAAAGCACGACCCCCCGGTCTTCCTCCCACCTCACGCGCCAGCACCCGCCGGTGCTCCTGCAGCTCCCTCGACTTCGCCTCCGCCTCCCGGCAAGCGGCCGCCACCACCCCAAGGTTGACCCTGGCTTCTTCTCTGCCGGCTCTGCTGTCCGCGAGCTCCTCCCGGAGGCGTTGCAACTCGGCCTCGAGGTCCGATCGCAAGGAGGCTTCGCCTTCCGCGCGCTCTCGCTCCTGGTCCCGTAGACGGAGGGCCTCCGCCACGTCTCGTCGGCGCCGGTCATCTGCGAGGGCCTCCTTTTCTCGAAGGGCCTCGTTGTCCACCTTTCGGGACGGTTGTTGTGATGAACGTAGAGCCGACGCCCCAAGCGACACAATAAAGTGGGGGCAGGCAGGCAATGGGGGAGGGGGGATAGGGGATAGGAGGAGGAGGAGGGGGGGGGCACGACGGTCGCCGGTGAGAACGAGCGCTTGCGGCACGACCTTGGGCAGCGGGTCTGAAAACCAAGACAACGTAGATAGATGGCGGTTGGGCCAAGAAAAAAAAAGGCCAATGCACGACAACAAGCGGCAACAAAAATATGGAGTAATATCCACTTTCAGGTATCTCCGCTAACGGCGGCCGCGGGAGGAACGCGGATAGGCTCGCACCTTCAGGGAAGCGACTTCCTGCGCACGTTCCGCGATCACTTCCTCCAGCGCGGCGAGCTCGGACAGAGAAGTCGCGGCAACCGAAGACCCCCTCCCGCCGACTCCAGTCCCCATCCCCCCAACAACAGCGGAAGCCTCCGCCCTCGCTCGTTCCTGCAAGGACGACCACGAGACGCAGCCTCGGAGGCAACTTGATTCGCTGTCGCCACCGTCGGTGCAACTACTACTGCTGCTGCTTCTTGGCCTCTCTCTGCCGCTTCTTGCCCATCCCGGGGGGTCGGCCAAATTGTCGGCGATGTCGCCGCCGTCGCAAGAGGCCGGGGGAGAGGAGGTGGAAGCCGCCAGCAGGGCCCGCACCTGCCCCACTCGCCGAGCTTCCTCGGCGTCGCGCCGGGAGAGCTCAGAGACGGCGGCGGACTCCCTGCCACGCGAGGCTCGGAGAAGGGCGAGAGACTCGTGTATCGCCTCCTCGTGGGTGACAAGCTGTTCTCTCTCGTTGTTCGGCAAGCAGTTCGGTGTTGTTGGCAGAAGAAGAAGAAGAAGAAGAAGAAGAAGAAGAAGAAGAAAAAAAAACGCGCGTTCGTCCGGGGCGGAGAGAGGGTGAGTGGCTGGGGATTCGTGGGGAGGGGGGGGGGCTAGTGAAGGGGCGTACGCGGGGTTCCAGCTCGAGAGTACTGTCATCAGGATCCCAATCGAACCAACGGACCACTGTAGAAAAAGGCAAGACTCAGCCCACTGACTAACGCCGTTCCGACACAAGGGCAGTTGTGCGGGGGGACAACATGGGGCGAGTGTGTGTTGCAACCCTCCATGACGCACTGCAGGTACGAAAAAAATATGTTGAACCGACTTGCAAGTCTCCTGCTCTTTGTCTCTCTCTCAAGCCGAAAAAAAAGCATCTACGCACCCAATACGCCACGAGCGTTGCACGCAACTACAGCAGTACCCGTCAACCAAAACGACAACCATGACGAAGACGAAGACGACGACAACGACGGAGAAGACAAGTACCCACGAACGAACTCTTTCTTCTTACCTGGTCTGACAGGCCCATCTTGGCACACCGGAGAGCATCCCTCTCGTCTCGGACCAACCCGAACCGGGTCTCTCGTATCGCCTGCGCCCATTCCTCCGCTTCGTCCCCGTCCTTCAGCCTCAGATAGAACGTGCGGATGGGGCTCGTCTCATCCCCGGGCGCGAGCTTCAACAGGTTGCCTGTTTGTGTTTTATTTCGTGTGTGAGGGGGGGGGGGAGGGGGGCATCATGGTACTTGTTCAGCCGGTTGCCTGCTGTAATATTGCCAGGATGCTTTGTTACCCTGTCTATATTTCCTTTGGGGTAGCTCTTGTACGTGTTCTACTCTGATTGATTTTCTGAGACAAACTGGGCATGAATCTCACGATAAAAACGATTCGCCCCATATTTCGTACCCTCATTGCGCTATTTTGTGAGGCTGAAAATGACGCCGGCTCCTTTCGTTCTGTATGCTTCCTCCGCCTACCGGGTCCCCCATTCGAGATTTGGAAATAGTTTGTAAAGGCGGTTCGGTTCTTGTACCGTGTGAGAAACAAGAGAGCGACTGGGGGAGATCGACTCGATTCGCTTATTTCAGGCAGTTCGACTCCATGAGACTGCATTGCATCCGACACCCCTCCCAAGCACAAATCGTCCCACCAGGACGGGAAGTCTCCACCCCCCGCCCGCCTCCAGCCGGATGGGCCCAACGGTAGGTGAGACACCCGACGATATATCTCAACACACCAAAACTCAGGCAAGATACTGCGAGGGAAAATAACTCCACAGCATAGCTGGGGCGAAACTGCTGCTGTCTACCTACATCGTTAACCCTTTCCGAAAGAACGAGCACGACGATAAGGGCTCGGACCGGCCGTGATTCTAGCGTGTGTGATGATGACGTCATCGTTCGCGCGCATGCTTGCTGTGTTGCCGATTGTCCTGCCCCCATTCCAAAAGGTTTTCCGACAGAACAGCCTTGAAAATTTACGTGGGCCGAGCGCCCACCCGGGGCGGGAATGGTCTAGGGAGGCACCGTGAATGGACGATCTTCACGCCACGTTTTGCAAGAGGGGGGGGGGTTCTCTATGTGTGACTCCGGCAAGAGAACCTACACCGCTAGGCAATGACTAATAACGTTTTGAGCGACGGCGGCATGAGTGAAAGCAACAGCGCTACCACCTAAAGAAGAGAAGTTTTCGTTTGTTACGCACCGTCGACGACCTGGATGTCCGTGTAGAGCTCGAGGTCGATGACGCCGTGAGGGCGAAGGTCCGTCTCGGCCGTGTGCTCCCCGAAGTAGTACAGGAAGGTGTGGGGCACGAGCAGCGCGCGACGCCTCCGCCAGCTCCCTGGTCCCGACCAGATTCAAGTCACGGTGCCCCCGAAAGCGAAAGAAATAGATTCGTTGAGCATGATGGACCAAGCCATCGTCAAACTGCATTTTTTGGCACTCCTCGGGCCGAGCGTGGATGAGGGTGATCTCTCCCCGTGCCGTCGACCACAGAGAGAAGTCGAGGGGTTATTTTTCTTTTTAACACTCTAGCAGAAAGACTGCCGATTGCATATGTACATACATGGACACGGATACGGGGGCAAAACGCACAATCATTCCGCTCTATTGTGTATCGTATATACCCACATAGGGTTGTTTTATTACTACAGCTTGGGACTCAAAAAATAGTGATTGCAATGTACATCTACTGGACTTGGACATCACCATATTGCCTTCGAGAGACCGATTCGTGGCTTTTACTTCAAAAGACGCGTTTCTCGCTTTGAGCCACGAAATACGCGCGTAAGCGCGCCTCCGCACGCCTATTATATCAACCATTTGATGTATGCATACCGATTGGAACGCGTTTTGATTTTCCGATTGGAATGAGACGTGATGTGGCCTGGCCTACCCTCTGTGGCGCAATGAACTCCCAAGTTTTAGTGTGCATAGTGTAGGAGGTACAGCAGTAGGAGAAGTGATGCCAAATACTCACAAGCGGCTCTCTCTCCATACTTCGGATCTGTCATCTAAGATAGAGATCTTGCTTCCGAGTGATGGATGGCATCATCCCGGTGTACTACTGTAGGAGGCATGCAGGATACCTCTACTATTTAGAGTAGATTCGGGACAAACAATAGTGTGCTGCTGCTGCTGTAGGCCCGAAGCCACGCCATTCCGCGGACCAGAGTGTAGGCGAAGCTGCGCCATTACCAGCGGGTGGGGAAGCAGCATGACCTACAACACAGCAGCAGTTACTGTCGCTCGGCAAACAAACAGCAATCAGTGCCCAAATTCGCTGAAGCACATGTAAAAACAGCAAGTGACCAAAGACGGGGCAGACATATACTGCTGTATAAGGCAAAAAGTCATCCATGTTTGATGCTGACGAGCCCTGAACGCATAGAACAGCAGCAGCTTTTGATGTTGGACGCCCTCTGCCATCGACCCGCACCTGAGTCGTTCTGCTTGGTGATGAGGCCCTCCCTCTCCGCGAGCAGCGACAGCGCCGCTGCCGTTTTCTCCGGGCTGGACTTGACAGAGAGGTGCACATTGCTGTCGTTGAACACCTCCCCAAGGCCTGTCGCCTCGTACACCTTGTGCTTCAGCCGTTCGCTCCTCCCCGCCACAGCCGAAACCACAGTGCTCGCAGCATTCATCCAGCAGCCCACAGCAAACTCTCCGCTCTACTTGTATGCTTGTATTTTGAAAAGCCAAGGCCATTCAAGGGGAAGATTCCCCCGGGGCTCTCGTGTCCACGGCGCGGTTCTCTTCTCGGCGATAGAGGTAATCGAAAGAAAACCCAAAGGTCGATGTCGCCAAGTGAAGCCGAACCTGGACGCCAGACGTAGTTATCAATAGCGTGACAGCCGAAGACGGACCGTAGACACCACGACTAGACCCACAATCCCCCCCGCGAGGGGCCCGAAACGTATATACCCCGCCTTGCTCGGGAACCATCCAGTCTGGCCGCCCCCCTTGCAGCCCACCACCCTACCACCACGGCTTGTCACTCCCCTCCTTGTCCTGCTTCTCTCTCTGTGACCTTCTTCGAACACGCAGAAGTGTTGCCATGGCGTCAAACAATTTGTGGCCGTTGCTCATCAAAATCATATTTCCGGTGAGAGAGAAAGAGTTACACGTCGACGGCAGTGACAACGTTTACAATTTGCTGCGGTTGCGCTACGGCCGTTGATGGGAACAAATCTTGCAGAAGCACGACGTTGTCCACGACGCTAGAGCCTGCGGTGAACAAATGCTTGAACCACATTAGGTTCTGTGTCACACATGACAGTCTATCTTGGCGTGGGTGCGTTTTCACCAGGACGCGTGGGCATTCCACAAGCACACCAGAGCAGGTCTTACGGCCTTACAGCAGTTCGCTGGTTTGTCCGCGTGGAACGTTCCGCAAAGAACACACGGACCAATCAATCACAAACCCGACTCCGTTTCAGCAGTCATGTTGACATGTTCCACCCCACGGCTGTGAATTGTGGATTGTGAATTGTGGCATGTGTCGACGATGGTAGTTACAGCAGGTGAGAGCCTACAATCGCTGACTTCGGACCCTTGACATACGCTGGAACAACGCCATCTTACAACTCTCTTCTTAATTTAGCTCTCACCAAGTCCCCCGTCTCTGCCCGCTGCCCACTGCTGTAAATCTTTCGACTTCATAGCTGCTACCTACGCACGTGCTTATGAAACCGCTGTTTGCTTACACTACTGCTGTAGGATACCGCTGAGGCAATTGCCGACTGCTGCTGCTTTCCACCATGCATTTGTGTGCACATGTCTTGGCTGACGATTGCCGCCATTCTGCGCTGCTACCGCCTGCTCTTGCCGCCGCATGCTGTTTCTCTACTGCGTCGGTCGTTCCATGCTTGGGGTAATCACTGCAGATACCAGCGAGCTTCTTGCTTTTGATTTGTTTGCCTCTGTCAACACAAAGCAGGTGAGAGATGCCAGCATTGTCATGTTAGTCCGCACGAAGTAGAGTTTTCTCCTCAACTTTATGTGGGGCGTCAGGCGTGTTCACCTTCGTAGGGATCTATACGCCGATCGTGAGAATTTGGTAAGGGCAGAACGCGCCCATGTGTCAATGTTCCCCACACACTCCCCTCGGCGTATGTGTCTTGTTCGTGCTGACCTGTTGTAACATAGGAGACGCCTTTCTATGTGGATGTTGAGGAAACACCTTGCTTCGGGTTTGCACGAAAAGCTTAACAAGACATTCTTTACCTTACACAGTAAAGTGCGATTTGTGATTTCGTTGTGCGCACGCCATGCCGCAGATATGCCCTACGGTCTTGTCGCGTACGCTTGAAATCACGAATGTACCACCACCTACAGCAAAAGCAGTAGGACGCCTTATTTCAGGCACTTGAGCTGGCGGCAGGTTATTTTTAAACCGAGGCACTGTTCGGCGGGTGGTTTATTCGCTATAACTACAAAGACGGCATCCGTGGGCTGCCGCACAGCAGAAATACGTGTGTAGATTCCTCGTCACTGCTCCACCCCCCAAGAGCATCCGCCGTATCACCATCCTTCCTGTTAAACGATCGCCGCTGCCCCCAGCATAGGTCTCACCTCGCGTTCGTCTCTCGCGACTGTCGAGGAATTCACGATCATGTGTTATAATAGTACACTCGCATCTCAAGCCATGTGAAATACCAGGGTGAGCAGAAACGAAACCACCATTCGGGTCAATCTTAAGGGGCGCGCCGTCGCGCGAAAGGATCGTTTCAAAAGTCGCGGCCAGCATCAAAACAGAGCCGACTTGGCACCCGACAGAGGGTATGCCCCAATGGTAACCATCTGCGGAGGTGATGGCTGCGAGCAACAAGATGGTGGTGATATTTTCACGTTCGGGGTGTAAACGAAGGGCTCTGTAAACCCGAAGGTTGAACAGGAGTTCCCCTGTTTTCTCAGGCAGAGAATATAGTCAGAACCTTCTGTGTGCCGACCTTCAATCAGGCAGTTGGTCGCGTACCCACATCGTGGAATAAGTTTCGGGTTTTAAGCCCTCGACTGAGGACTTTGGGGTGGCCGTGTCTCAATTTCGCTCCGCCTCCGTAAGCCTTTTGCGCTGCCCTCGTTCTTGGCAAGACACAACAACAGTTCATGCGCGCTCAATATTGTCACTCAACGCTGTCGCTTCTAACGTCATTTCTTACTTTTTTTCGTTGCTGCTGATCTCCTGCTCGACGTTTTGGGTAACCGCTCGTCATTTCACGGACTCCGGAAACACGTGTTCGCCATCATCAAGGATAATGCGATGGACCCGCCGGCTCTACGATAAGATCTGTGAGTTCGCCCTTGTAATTGTTTACGGTCACGTTTCCCTTCGATTATATTTGTCCGACTGACGCCAACCATACGGAAGCCGCCCATTGGGAAGCCGCCAGTCTCGATGCGGCGAAACCGACGCCAAATCGAGCTCCATTCCGCGGCGTCCTCCGACTTGGGGGGGGGGGCGGAGGAGACTGCTTGTGTCCATGCTTCTTGCACTTGCAGGGAGCACCCTTGAGACCGGCTGGCCAACGCTGCTTTTGTGTCTCCGATGTGATCGCCATGCGTTTGCGCATTGTGTGCACACCATTTTTTGTTAGATTCGATGGGATGTAACACTCTGCAGACTACGGCTGGACGATTGGGGGATAGCTGTATCGCGAGGACGTGGGGAAGTCGACCTTTTTTCAGCACTTGCTTCGTACCTTTGAACGACACACCAGTCAGAGGTTGATCTCATTTTCAGCAATCTCCTACTAAGCAAGATACAGAGCACCAATGAACGAACTTGCCATCGGTCTAAGTTCCACGCCGACGGGGGGTACAGATTCCGCAGAATATCTCACTTCGAGTCCGCGACCTACAGCCAACGGTCCAATAGCGTTTTTTTGTAGCGCGTCAGCAACGAGGCCGAGCACAGCTGGGGCGATTGCGCCTTTTTCTCGGACGCACGCTGTATATTATGCTGCTGTTGTTACAGCATAGTCTCATTGGTATGTTCTCGTGTACTAGGTCTCACTGGATATCCATGCGCTCATCCGCGCTCAGCTCTTTAATTTCCCACCGCTCGACCCCGTGGAACTATCGACCATATCATGTCTAAAGTGAGACAATGTGCGACGGGGAAGGCGCAACAGTCCTAATATTTTATTGCATCGTGTCTACAGGATGGGCCGGGATAGGATAGGTGCCGGCCGGTGTGTCTTGTCGCGCCCATGTCTCCTGGCTCTTAGGAGAGTCTTCCGTGTTCACGCACCGCTGCGCTCGTGGAGCCTCCTCCTCTGTTTCAATGGTACCTAATCTTCGTCGCCCCCCGTCTTGTGTTGTACAATGCTAACTATTCTGCCCTTCCCCCCCCCCCCCCCCCCTTTCGTTCACGCCGCAGTCTCGTTCCAGGTGATGAGCATCCCCCTCATCTACCTCATCATGGCGGCCTCCTGCGCCCTCTTCGCCGCCATGTGCCTCGAGACCTACGGCCTGCGCGTGCGGGAGGTAAACGCGACGCACTTCGACGAGAAAATGAACCTGCGGGGCCGCCGCTGGAGGGCCGAGCGCAACTTCTACATCTCCTTCATGTTCCTTTCGTGCTCCGTGTTGGCGAACCGGGTGCGGCTCATGCTCAAGGAGGTGGACTCCCTCAACGAGCAGATTCGAGAGATGCGCAAGAGATGACCATCGGTGGAGAAATGAACGGCCGGGGACGGCGTTGCTAGAAAATTTTGTCTTGTGTGTGTGTTTTTTTCCAAACAGGGCGGTGTGTTTTAGTAGTGCGTTTCGTATTTCGTATTCCGCATTTTGGTGTGTGTTTATTTGTGATATTTTGGGGGGTGTTTTTTTTTGTGGTACTATGTAAAGATGCAGCACTCGAGGGACACAAAGAGAGAGATGATCTCGCCAGTCGGTCGTGCCATCTGGTGTTGTAAAGTACAGCCATTTGGCTTTCGGAAGGAGTCTGATACGACGTATTACGTCGGCCAGGACACACTGCCTTTCATGCCGGAAAATAGGGCGACCCTTGGCTGCCTCGGCAGAAGATGGTACAGTTGTACAGCAGTTGACACGAGAAGGCGATGAGGGTGTTCCAACAACGGGTAGGCGTCGACACAGGCAGGGATGATGCCAAGAAGGGTCTGTTGTAATAGCGCAAGGGATGGCGGCGTTAGATATTTGGAACACCTATCGAGCGGTTATGCCTACGCGTGCTGGTGACCCCTCTTTGTTTCTTGTGGACTGCAACCATTGACTCGAACAAACCAAGAAGTGCTTTCATGAACTCCGATGCATGTGATTGCACGAGCATCGCCCTCGTGTCTCAACGGGAAAGAGATGGCTCGGTCAACACCAACGCGTCTTTAATGTAGCTTAAAAGCGAGCAGTGAGTAGTACTGCGGCGCGCGCTCGACACCTGTTGCCATCGTTTTTCTTCCGCGCTAGACTAGCAAAGGGCGATTTTTATGATTTTATGGCAGCAGCGGAGGAGGAGGAGTGTTGGAGGGGCTCGTGAAGCTGTGTTTATTTGCAGTCTTGTTCCTCTCGGAAGGAACGATGTGCTTCTATGTAGCAGCTCCTGTCCCTTTGCATCGCTCTCTTTTTCTTCGTCGCTCTCGAGCGTGTGCATGCATGTTCGTGTAGCCAAGTGTAGCATGAGGCAATCTTCTGTTGACGCGCGCTGTACGCGTCTTCTTGGCCGCACGCGGCATGATACGACCCTTTTGCTTGGAACAACCTACGTCGTCCCTTCTCTACATCGCCGTGTCGTGGGTATTGTGGGACATGGTATACGGCACGTTCCCTCTATGTAATTCTGACATCAGGCGCACGCAGCAGCTGGTTTCAGCTTCGTGCCTAGAGGTCGAGCAGCATTCTGCTGGCATGAACGTGCCTTCGAATGTATGTGCTGCCTCTCTTTTATTGCTTCGCCGAGAAGCGCCTCGTTTTGTTTTTTTTGGAGCATACTACATGCACCGAAAACCGAGGTCTTCCGACCTCCACAAGCCTGTCCGGAAGACAACGGCACTGCTTGTCCGCACTGATCGTCGTTACACGAAAGTAATCTGTTAAACGAAAATAAATGTATAAATTACGTTCGTCACATGTATATCCGTTCGCGGTCGTTTCGAACCCTCCCTCTTCCTGCTTCATTTGTCATTCAATCGTTTCTCGCCCGACTTCAACCAGACGCCAAAAAATGCATTCATACACGTGTTATGGGCATGTGTGCAGGAGACACTGAGCAAAAACAAGCAACATGTCCACACCTCTACTTTGCGCGGGGAAGCAAGCGACGCTGGTTGCGGCCCGATCCCCAATTTCCGAGTCTCTTGTTTCTCTGTCTCTGTGTCCAGAATGTCTTTGTATGTCTCCTCTTTCTCCGCCCGGCGCTGGTAAAAAAAGAAAAGAAAAGAAAAGACATCCCATCACCAACAGCACGAAAACTGGAAAAACACCCGGGCAACAAGCTTGCGTCTTTTTTCACGCTCGGACGTGAACGAGAAAAAAAATCAGCGCGGTAAAAAGTTACATGCCGGCGACTACAATAGATCCCCCCCCCGAAACTATGGTACTCTTTTCATGGAACATGCCCGCAATACGCTCTTTGCTCTACGCACGCAGGTGTTCTTGATTGATGGGTGGGTGCTTCCCCCGCACAAATGCTTCCTGCTTTATTTTTCCGCTTGTCGTAGGCGCCCACAATTCGCAGGGCAACAAAAAAAAAAGACAGCACTCAAGAAATAAAGCACGGAAGCCATTGTGAAATCGAATCTCCTCAAAACACCCACCGAAAAAAGACCCGCTACCCGACACGATCCACTCGAACGCAACGGCTTTCGGTTTGCAAAACCGTCCTTCGCAGGAGGGGAGCGGGGGGGGCGGCGTCGAGTGTGTGTAAGGACGAACGTACCCCCGCCCCCCTTCAAGCAACCTACACTATCGCCGCCAACCCTTCTCACCAACTAGATACTTGTAAATAGATAGACCGAAAGCTTGGGTGGGAGCGGGGGAATCGTAAAGAGAAGAGAGGCGGCAAAGAGGGCACAATAGCCAAAGAGCCGAAAGCGAAACGCGGCGAAATAAAATCGGCCTGGCTCTATTAATCCCGCGGCAGGCAAGACATGCAGATAGATACAGCAGCGGCTGGTTCTTAACGTGCAGGCAGGCCGCCGAGAGTTCCCACCAATCGCTGGTGCCGTTCATTGTGTTTGTGTTAAAACTCTCGCTCTTCCCTAGGGTACTCGCATTCAATTGACACGCGCCCTCCCTACCCCTGTACACTTGCTGCCCCGCCCACTCCCCCTCTCCGGCCTGGCTCGCCCTCCTGGGTAAAACACACCATTTTTTTCTTCAAGCAACTCAACAAAATCCTCATACAAACACACATCTCACCAACAAGTAGGTGACAGCTAGTGATGTATCTCGCCGAGGGAGCCCGTGCGCCGTAGCGACTAAATAGCCCCTCTTCTGCTTTGCAGAGCCAAGGGTGCACGTTGCCCAGGAGCACCAAAACAAGTGGGACAAGATCAACAGCAACAACCACCATAGCCAACAGATCGACCAAGAGAAAGAGAGAGGGGGGGGGGGGGAAGCAAGTAACAAGTTTCAAGAGCAACAAGGTGACACCAAGTACGCTCACAGGAATCAGGCATCCATCCGTCCCACCAACAAAACTCGCCCCGGTGCTCATAATCTTGCTCTCCCACCCTCGTTATCGACCTTGCACCCCTGCAGGAAAAATTCACTCCGCCACCCTAGCCGCACATTTGATCCTCTCAACATGGCCTCACGCTTCCACCTACATCGGTACAACCCCGCCCCAAGTCGCGCGACACCAAATTTTACATACTCAAGAAGCACTTCCTCTTCGCGCTTAGCTTTTTCCTCGGCGCTTGGTTCACCCTCTCCTTCTTGATCCCCCTTCGTCTGACTAGCACACCGTCCGGCTCGTTGGATAGCGTCCGGACCATGACATGATATCGCGGTGCTCAATATTTCTCGTTGTAGTCGGATCGCCGGGACGTCGGCGGTGTCAACATATGTGGCACCGGGGGGAGGGGGGACGGTGGAGGGGGTTACGCCACCATAGACTTGCCCTCCTCGTCCTCCTCCCAGTCAATCCCGTTAGCCTTCGCCTCGGCCATCTCGGCGAGAACTCGCTTGTAGTCGTGCGGCATAACCTGCGGCGGTGGGGCGGGAGCGATGTTCATGAAAGAAGGTAACGTTTCGGCTGGTTCTCGAATTTTGAGGTCTCGCCTCGGTTTTGGTACCACTGTACAGGCGCGGTTTCGCGGTGGTTCGTTGTTAAAGAAAACATACCCACCAAGACAAAGAAAACAGAAAGAGAGATACCTGTAGAGGTAGAGACGGGGGGAGGAGGGGGGGGGGGGAGCAACGGCATGGTAGACAAGAGAAAGAGCGACGCTATCGAGGGCACCGAACAGATGCATCGGATCACATCACTTGAGGCGGCGGGGTAACTCACTGCTTGCCCTAGGCTCGGAAGCGGGGCATACGGAACATGAATCGTCCACGGACGTATTCTATGATACGGTGAGCGTTTTCGCTCCCGTCCACTCTGGGCGCCAATGTATTGCTTTCGGGTGCAGATGGCTAGACAAATACATAGAAGATCGAACAGTCACCACCCGGACCCAGGCTTGATCCAACAAGCCAAGTAGTCGTATCAATACACACACACAAGAACGACCGAGCGGCGGAAACAAGAATATAATGCATGGGACAACAAACAACCCACACGCTCCGTCGCAAGTAAATAACAAACAAACCTAGCACCAATAGGCAACAAGCGTGCCTCCATACTCAATCAACAAAACATGAAAAGTGAATACATGCATGCAAACCAAAAATCAGAAGTCAGAAAAAGACGGTACATACTCAATCAACAAAACATGAAAAGTGAATACACGCTATATCAGAAGTCAGAAAAAGACGGTACGAGCGCGCAAGACACACAAACACAGGCCGCAGCCGGGGGGGGGGGGGGTTTCCCCTTGACCAAATTATTTACCTACTTTTCAAATTTTTCTAACATCTTTTTTGCCTTTGT